TCTCCCTCACTCATCCTTTCTCTCCCTAACTCTGCCTTTCAAGTAAAAAAATAATTTTTTAAAAAAATCTCATTTGGGGGCAAAATCTTTACTTGCAACTCATAGCACCCAGCATATTTTAAAGAATAGTACCTATGAGTTTTTGGAATTCCAAAACCTTTATTTTGTCTATTTCTGAGGCACCCTTCCCCAGAATTCCCTTCCAAAGCTATTAGACAGTTGAAAGTGAAATGGAAATCCTAAGACAATTCAGCTGCTTATGATAGTTAGTGGTCTCATGAAAGATTTCCTAAAGATTCTAAAGGTATCCAGTTCTATGATTCTTCTTCACCTACAGATTGGAAAAGTATAATAGCTTTGGCATAATAGATTCTGGATATGGTTTAAATATATTATTAATAAATACTGTGAAATCATGGGAGTTATAATACCCTGAAGAGTGGTGGTGGTAGGAGTAGAGTTAGAAGGAGAACTATAAAGACAGGGGATATCAGGGAAACCTTTAAGTTCAGATATTTTGACAGTTTACCTTTGTCACCTAGGAATCCATGTTCAGAAAGCAGAGTGAGGGGCACATTTATTTGGGGGAGATCTGATGACCAAAATAGGACTGCTATTACATTGGGTTTAGAGCAAATATGGGTAGAGCAGCACAAAGATGGGATTGTGGGACAGCCCTTGTTCTTTAGTAACCATTGCAAATAAAAGCACTTGTTCTTATTATGAACTCAAAAGTAAAAGTGCACAAAAAATGGGATCACAAAAATTGCACAGGAAATGCAATGATCTAGGTACATTAAGAAATTCTGTTTTATGTGTTAAATGGGCAGATACAGCTGAGCACAGCTGTTTACCTATAACCTGAATAGCTGAAGATAGGGCACCTTATTCAAACTCAGTCCTCCAAAGAGAGGAATTTGAGAGCACTCTATGCCTTCTGTCAAGACTTATTCTCAATATTATACTTATTACTTTCACAGATGCTGACCATGTTTCTTTAGAATATTATTTAATTTTCAATGGCTTTTCAATTCTTCCTTTTAAAATAGAGCATCTTTTGGCTACTACTCTTTCCTTCACACCTTGTAAATTATCAGTACCTTAAGAAGACCTTTATAGAGGAGTGTCTTTGTGAACAGTTGCATTAGATGAGAGAATAATCGGGTAGGAGAGGTTGGGGCTGGAATAAGAGCAAGAAGCAACTGAACATGTTATGGACTATGCTGTGACCATTTGAAGCCACTACTGCTACTGTCAGAAATTCAGGGGGCCTCCTGTAGTAGCTATCACAAAATGCCTGCATTGTGTAGTGATCAGTTTTAAGTGATGAACAGAACACAAAAGGGGTAAGGGAGGTAAATAATAAGATGGGCTAAAAATTCTGCCCCTGGAATCTTGCCCCAAGAAGAGAAAATATTTTTCTCCTAAAGGTTGGAAATAGCACGAAAGTGGCTTGACAGCCTTCTCTCTCAGAATGGCTATGGAGAATGCTTTTTAACAATCCAAGCATATTAAAGCCAAAATAAATTTATCTCCCAGGTAACTATTTTCATAAAACACTGTAAAGTTTTCCAATATTGCAACAGAACTTAGAACATCATGTTAATTGCAAGTGTGTATGTATTTCTTATATTATGGCATGTGGCAATGGTTTTCATCCTCTGATTGTTTTATATCTGGTCATTTCAAATTGTCCAGTGGCTAGTTACACTTTATTTCTGTTGATGCCTCAAATTCAACCCACTAAAGCAAAACATCTACTATCTATTCTAATTCCTTTACTCGCTCCTCTCTCTCATCTCACTTAGGCATCCCAGACATTCCATTTTGTTCATTTTTTAATTGTAATTTCTCCCACATTCATTTCCATTTTTATTTTTGTGATTATCCTTTATTTAGGCCTTGATCATCTTGTGTTTATATTATAAGAACTTCAAATTGGCCTCCCTTTTAGGAGCTTACAGCTCTCTGGGTAGATGGAGTAGAGACAGAACAAAGATTTATTTTCCTGCTTGCAGAAACGCCCAGTGAGCTCAAGATAACCTCAGGAAGGTTAAATCAGGCCAAGATGGGAGAGGTACGTTTGGGCAGAGCTGGGTAGAAAAGGGACACGAGAATGGGCTCTAATCTCTGCCTCTTAGAAACTAAAGCTAGGGTATATATAGATACTTGGTGCCAGGAAGGGTAAGGTGAGCTGAGTAAACTGAGATGGGAGAGAGGAACAGATTCAGGATTGAGGCTTCTTGGTATCCACAGGTCAGAATGATGTCAGTCCCTTTGTGCCCTACCCTTCTGGCTAAATACCTTTGACTTATTCCTACCATCAACTAGGGACAGCTCCAGATTGACAATGCTTTGAGGGATCCTTCTTGCTACATCCCTTCTTGGAAATCTTAGTAAGGAATTTTGAAAGAAAGCCACTTATTCTTGAGGACAGATATATTACACTTTTCCTTATAACATGTATGAGTAATGATAATTTTAGGTAATTTATTCTATAGCTATTATAGATACTATTCCAATATCCTTTATTTCAGAGCCAAATCTTTCAGTTCCTCTTTAAGACCCATCTGGATTCCCTTTGGAGCTGTTTCCTTGGGTTAAATTACATAACTCAGTTTCTGTGTTTTCCTCTGTTAAAAAGGATGATATCTTCAGGAAGACATAGGTCCTATAACTGATTTTGAAACATCAACAATTTTCCTGTGACAATATTATTCATCATCTTTTTAAATTTTGTATTCAAAAGCACAATTTTAACTGCTTTTTTCTCTGCACTTAAGAAAGAAAAATTTTGCTGCATCCACTTCGGTGTGAAACACAGACCTTTACTTCTCCAGAACATTTCTTATTTCCCCTTTTTAATGTCTCTCATAGCCTTGTCAGGAGCTCTGATATTTTAAAAAGTTTTAATTGATATAAAATACTTCCCAAATCCTAATACCAATTTGAACTATAATAGTGACCATTTTTTCAGCAATTCTTTTGCTTTTGCAAAACTAGAAGCCTCTGTGAGAGACGGTATTCAAATAAACATTTCTACTTGTGCTTCAAGTCATTTACTTTTGTTATAAAACACTGGCTTTGAAGAGCCTCATACTAAAATTCTGAACTACTTGCTCACCTGTTGGCCTGCTGAGTTAGGATACACAGATAAACAAATGTCCCAAAAGCCACAGTTTATGCAAGTGATGTTTCATCCTTTGTATCATAGGAATTTAAACATTGAACCTCAAAGTCTGACACATTACACATTTTCCCAACAACAACTGCAGCAACAACAAATGACCTCATTGTAGCTACTAGAGGAAATCAAACTTCAAATAACAAATTTTTTTTAAAAAAATCCACTCTATATGTTTTTAGTACTAGAACTCTTAGAGTCCTAATCACTCACTTCAATGCTTCTTCATGATTAATTTTGAATTGCAAGACTTACTAAGCACTGAAAGAGTGTTCAAGAATCCTGGTTGTGAGATCCAGTGTTGCCAATAACTTGGGGGATGATCTTAGGCTTGTTGCCTAATCTCCTCAATTCTTAATCTTATTTAATAATGAGGGACTTGACATATTAGATGATGTCTAACTTTCTTTCTCACTCAAAAAGCCTATGAGCCTATTCCTAACAAAGAAACCTGAGTTAATTAGATCAGACTTCTTGAAATTAGTGCCATCAATGGAAGAAAATTGAATTGCATTTCTTTCTATGATATAATTGGACATATTGAACCCCATCAAGGGGGCAGTAGGGAGTTAATTACAGATTTTCCACTGATCAGGCGAAAATGCTAAGACTTTAAGGTATCTTTGCTTCTAGTCTGATTCAGCCTTCATGAAAGACTTATCTTTCTTTGATGAAAGAATTGATTCTTAGTTCAAGAATAGTGGATATTGAAGATGTGCAGTGAGCTCATAGGGCTCTATCCTTTACCTCTGTGCTTTTTAACATTTTTGACAGTAACTCAAAAGAGCTATGTTTTCCAAATCAGACTTGGAGTAGATCCCTAATGCTTACACAACAGAACTGGGATCTAAAAGAATGTCAAAGAACCTCAAAATGGGGCCAGAGCTGTGAAATAGCTGGTAAAAGCCACCTCTGCAGTGCTGGCATCCCATAAGGGCCCTGGTGCAAGACGCAGCTGCTCCACTTCAGATCCAGCTCTCTGCTACGGCCTGGGAAAGCAGTGGAAGAAGGCCCAAGTCCTTGGGTCCCTGCACCCACGTGGGAGACCCGGAAGAAGCTCCTGGCTGCTGGCTTGGGATCTGCCCAGATCCAGCTGTTACAAGCCATTTGGAGAGTGAACCAGCAAATGGAAGACCTTTCTCTCTCTTTCTGTCTTTGCCTCTCTGTAACTCTGCCTTTCAAGTAAATAAATAAATCTTAAAAAAAAAAAAAAAAAAAACTTAAAATTAAAAAAAAAAAAGTAAGCCAAAAGCAAGAAGATGAAAACGACATCAACGGTCCAAAAGCAGAATGGGAAAGAACTAGCTTGAGAACTGTTGCATCCTCTCCACTTTCCCTCCACCGCAATGCAGTTCAATGAAGCCCCACATGGCTCTGGCGGTGCTGCACAAAACCGTAACACTTGAATGCATTCTTCACCTGCATTCGCCATGGTGTTCAACTCCACGAAAGCGCTCCCCTCTTAACTTGTACAAGTCAAACCTCACCTGCATGAACGGATCTAGTTCAGGGTAAAGGCCTTAATAAGGCTATGACGAATCTGTTTTGATACATCCACGTTGGTTAGCCTGGATAAGGAATTTTGAAAGCAAGCCACACGGAAAGCACTTGAGAGTTTACATATTCTACTTCGGAAAGGAGTACATGCAAGAAAGAGAAAAGGACACGTCTTAGAAGACAGGGCAATAGCACGAGGCCTGGTTCCTGCAGGCCGTGGCGGCAGGAAGCGCTCCGAGCCCCGGACGTGACGCAGGCGGCCCCGCGCACCGCCCCGTGCGCCCACGTTCCAGGCCCCGAGTCCCCGCGCGGCCCCGCGGGCGGCGGTGGCGGTGACGAGCGGTGACGCCTCAATGGTTGCCTGGACGCCGCGCAGGGATTCGGAGCGCACGGGCGGGGCGTCGCACCTCTCTTCGCGTACCTCTGCTCGGGAGCAGGGCTGCGACTGCGCCTAGGGCGGCCGTCCGGGCCGAGAACCATGAGCCCCGGGGGCGCGGGCTGCTCCGCCGGGCTGCTGCTGACGGTTGGCTGGCTGCTCCTGGCGGGCCTCCAGTGCGCGTGCGGAACCAACGTCACGGCCCTCCAGGATCCCGGCCTGGCCCACGAGAGCGAGAGCGAGGGCGACAACGACGAGGAGGCCGAGAATGACACTGAGGTGGCGGAGAACGAGGCCCCGGCCGAGGCCGCCGAGGAGGAGGATGGTGAGCGGCGGAGGCCCCCGGGCGGGCACGCGGAAGCCCTGGAAAGGGGCACAAGCCTGGTCTTTCTCCGAGATTAACGGGAATTGTCCTGTTAACCTCACTGGAGCTCTCGCTTCCACCAGTCCTGAGTTTATCCATTTCCTGTGTCTTACGGCCTTGAAGAAGGATGGTGCCGATTCTCCAAGGCCACAGCAGGACAAATAAGCATGTACATGGAAATTGTTACAGAAATATTGCATTGCACACTGAAAAAGTGTTTTTTTTTAAATATACAGGATAGGGAAGGCAGCCCTTCTACGTGTTCATTTTGACTCTTGTTGCATTTTTGCTCCCCATTGTAGATTTTTCTCTTTTTGAAATTCCAAATTGCTTGACGTCCTCTTCCTTTCTGCATTTGCACTTGGGATGGGAACTCAGTGGAATTCAGAATGCCCACTATTGTGACACATCTAGTTAGACCAGTATGCTGACAAAAGTGCCCAGAAGCCACATCTCAGCTCCCTGCAGTCCCCACCCTTGAACGCCTTTTGCTGCGTGGTAGGGTTTTATTTGCATGTTCAACCTTGAAAGGTCACAGTAGAAAGCATCCATTCAGGGATCCAACTATTGGCTTTGTTTTGTGACGTGTTATCCAAGAGAAAACAAGCCTGCTCTTGCTACATAAATTTGCCTTATACTGCTGGCTCATTAAGCCGTAAAACTTGACAAGCGGTTATACATGCTGTATTGATTAGTAACTCGCATGCTGGTAGGTAAAAGGTCAGTTGCAGGTTTGCAGCCTTCTACAGGAGGGTGATCCCGTCCACCCATAAAGCATCCCGCTGAGATCCTTTTAATGCCCTTGGCATTCTCATGTCTCCTCAATCTATACATGTAGAGAGAGTGCTGTGTTTATCAGCCTTTCTCTTATTTCTTGATGACAGGTAGTGACCCTCAGCAACAGAAAGAAATTGACTATCTGAAGTTAATAGTGAGATTGGGGTTTGTACTGCCCTGATAACATTACATTACAGAGAGCTTGAAAAGGTCTTTGACTTTGGAAATGTGAAAAAGAAAGATGCCAAAGAAGAGAACATGTTCTATAAACATAGTAGCTATTGCTTCATTCTAGACTTTAATTAACGGTTTTAGCTTGAAAGCAGTGGAGGGATACTCTTAGCTACAAAATGCTGAGTATTATTTAGGCCAAACACAGAAGATAAGTTATAAAAGCTTTACATTCAAATTCAAATGTAGATAAGTTACCTTTTCTCTTGGTGCTTCTATTTTCTCATGTGGATTTCAGGGAGACCATGTCCATTGTGAAATTTTATACATACACTTTCATGCATAAGTGCTTTTTCCTGGGGAGTGTGAAAATTCAGAATTATAACAACCTAAGGTGTCAGACAGCTGAACATTTCCAAAACCAAAGTTAAAAACCATGCAGCTCCTTTGCCTCTCAGTGGATGGGTCAAAACAGTGATCACCATTTACTATCACTCCATCCATCTATCATCTGTCTATATCTATCTATATGAAGTATATTTACATATATAGTTTTTTACATTAAAGTTATTTTACAAATCATTTACAAAAGTAAGAACAAAAGAATAGTGACTTTCTAACAACTGTTAGAAATCTTAATGAAGTTGTAAACATGGAAGAACAAGTTTTCATTCCATATATCCTAGTTTTGAAGTTGTGCTAGTAAGGCAAAGAACTTTGAACACAACCCAAGTGCTCAACATTTAAGCATGAATATATCTATCATGTAAAGCCCAATTCCAGATTTCAAGTATGCCTCTACTAGATCATAGTTTATCATTATTCTGGTTCTTTTTGCACTTGTATCATCAAAACAATAATTTTGAAAACATACATTTTGATGAAAAGAAGAATGACATCTTTGCTCCATAATTGTAAACATTTTCATTTTTGTATTTACCAACACCAATTAGAATTAGTCTAACAAAATGTATTGATTTCTACATCATCTGTTATCCTTCAGGCACCTTTATATATATGCCTGCCATCAGGATTTGTCCATTTATGAATCTTACCAAGTAATTGGTGTTACATAAGCATCATATAAAAGAAATAATGTGATCCACATCCTTTTTTAAAAAAAAAACTTTTTTTAGAGATTTATTTATTTATTTGAAAGGTAGAGTTTCAGAGAGGCAGAGAGAGAGAGAGAGAGAGAGAGAGAGAGATCGGTCTTCTATCTGCTGGTTCACTCCCCAGTTGGCAGCAATGGCTGGAGCTGTGCCAATCTGAAGCCAGGAGCCAGGAGTTTCTTCTGGTCTCCCACGTGGGTGCAGGGGCCCAAGGACTTGGGCCATCTTTTACTGCTTTCCCAGGCCATGGCAGAGAGCTGGATCAGAAGAGGGGCAGCCGGGACTTGAACCAGCACCCATTTGGGATGCAGCACTGCAGGCATCAGCTTTACCTGCTGTGCCACAGTGCCAGCCTTGGCCCACATCCTTTTAATGGACAGTATGGCCTGGGTTATTGTCACAAAACATTTCAGGATCAACCCCTTCCTGTTGAAAGCTTAACTGAATGAGACTATCATATGTCCTTTTGATTCTCTGAAATATAGTGTTTAGAAGTAGATGCTTAGGCTACATTCCCTATCAGAGTGACCAGGTTCAAGTCCCAGCTCTACTTCCAATTTTAGCAGTTCATGGCTTAAGTAGGTGGGTTCCTCCCACCCACGTTTCTCTCTGCCCTTAAAATAAATAAAATTTAAGAAAATATATAATGTTCACTCATCAATTCTTGAGCCAAGGCACTCAAATATACTATGGGCATCCCAAACAGCATCTCAAACACTGTACCAAACACCCACCTCCCACTCATCAATTCTTAGGCTAGAGAAAATTCATCTAGGATATTCATCTGAGATATCATTTCTCTTTTAAAAATGTATTTATTTGAAAGGCAGAGCGAGAGCGAGAATAAGAGCAAGAAACGCGAATGCTTCCAACTACTGGTTCTCCCCAAATGGCTACAACAGCCAGGTCTGGGCAGGGCTAAAGCAGGAGCCAGGAACAACATCCTGGTCTCCCACAGGGGTGGCAGGAGCCTATGTACTTGGACAGTCTCCAGCTGTCTTCCCAGGTGCATTATTAGGAATGCAGGATGGGAAACAGAGTAACCAGGACTTGAAGTAACACTAATATGGGATGCCAGTGTTGCAAGCCACAGCTTAACTTACTGTGTCACAACACTAAACCCTTGAGATGTCATGTCTTACTGAGATTTTGCTTATACAGTTTCAGTATCTTCAACATTATCCCATATGCTGCTATCTGTCTTTCTGTGTTCATTTTCTGATTTGTTCAATAATTGCGAAATGTTTTTCTGTTTTCTTCTCTGCCACTATGGGCAAAAATGAAAATTCCTGAGACCTCAATTGTGTTCAATGAAAGCCAAAAACATACTACAAGAAAGGTGCCTCTAGGTTTTTTTAAAAAATCTTGCTGAAAGATACATTTTTGGGTAATGAAATAAGAAAATAGAAGATGATGTAATAACTGTTTCATTTCACAATTACATCATCCTTCTACACGATTCCATTCATTCTTCCATTTTATTACTTCAATCTTTTTAAAACATCATTGAAAATAATTAATGAGTAATGATGAAATAATATGATTCTGGATGTTGAAATAAAATGTTTCAAGGTAAAGGAAAAATCACTAGTATGTTAGACTTATGTCCTTATACCCTTTAAAAATCTTATATATATATGTATATATGTACTTTTATAGAACTTATAAAATATATCATAGGTCTTTCATATAGGTATACTTTTATATTTGTAAAAGGGCTCAATACACAATAATTGCAAAACAGAATAATTTTATTCTATGAAATGAGCTTTTTACTATAAAACATAACTTTTTCTTTGTAACACCTCTAAGAAAGAATAAAAGCCATGAAATATCAGCCTTACAAATCAACTCTCAAAGAAGAAACTCAAAAACTTAATTTGCACCTGATAGACACCAAAAGTTACAACAGCGTGCTTTTCAGAACCTAAAAGAACATTCCAGGACCTGGCCAGAACAAAATGAGCAGGATCATTACCTGCATCTTTGTGGGTGTCAGGCTTTTATCAGTGTAGGGAGGCCTCGCTGTTTTCCTGACGGCTACTGAATGCACTGTTGAGCCTTCCATTATTAAATTAAAACAACCCTTAAGTACCTTTGGACAGCTGACTTTTCAGCTTCACCTGTAGGACTTTTTATTTCTGCAAGTTTCATTTGTTAGATTTGTCCATTATACCACCCCATCATTTTTAGGTCCATATTTATTATCAGACCTGTTTGCTATCCTTACTGGCTTTGCAGAAACCTGTATTAAGTCTGCAGGATATCAGTGTTCATTTCCAGGTCATTCATAAAAATGTTGAACAGGACCGTGCCCTGTGATGCATCACTCCTCCCACATTGACATCAACACCTTAATTGGCATCTGTGGTTTTATTTGACCAGTAAGCATTTAGCCTTACGGATATTCAGATGACATGTCTATTTTTCATTCGTAAGTGTATGAAGATACATTTTTACAGCTGCTGCACTGAAGTCCAGATACATGAAGCTCCCCTGGGCCATCATTGTAAAATTCCCATCAAAAAACGCTGTGAATGACTTAATGGACACTCAAAGCAGGATGGAACATTAAAACAGAAAAGCACTTTAGAAACTATCTGACTTAATCTCATTTTTTTTTTCCTCTAAGGAAACTTAAGTTAGGAGAAATTGAGTAACTTCCCCAAAGTAGCATAGATGTGGGATATTAGAGCTAATTGACTAATGGTTTTTGAAAAGAGGTTATATTTAAAAGGAGCCCAATGCTCTTATCCAAATTTTCTGTGTTCAGGATTTGCTTTTTATTTTTATGTCATATGTGCCAGCAAAAAATATTAAACGAATTTCAAGCATAAAAATATCAATTCATAATTGATCATCATGATAGTCTAAGTCATTTATTTAACAAAGATCAAAGTGTATTTGTATGTATCACGTGCTTGCTGTGTGTTCAAGGTATTTTGTTTGTTGCTAATTAAGTACAGAATAAAGTGCTTGTGAAACTATTAAGGTATTATATAAGTAGTCAAATTAGGAAAAAAAAATCTTAGCTACTATATTAAGTTAGTTAGAACAAAATGAGCTTGACGAGTAATTATGTTATATTAAATATTAATTAAGTATTATAGAATGCTTTCACATATACTATATCATCCTTACAATAATCAAATGGGATAGGTTCTCTTTTTCAGATTTGTTAAAAGGGTTAACTATCCCTGACAGAGTTTAATTAATTTGTTCAAACTAAAACAGCTACATTAGTGGTGGAAGTAGCTCTTTGGACTCCAAGTTCAATGCATTTCCCCATGTGATTTATTGTCCCAAGATATAATGCTTTTTAAAGATTATCTTTTAATACCTCATGTTATTTTTTTAATTGAAATTTTAGTATAATCTGAGCTTTTAAAAATTAATTATACACTAAAATTAGTAGATATCATATAAAACTTCATAATGATTAGGGAGGAGATGTAATATAAAACCTAGAATATTTGACTTCTCAGGTAGTTATATTCCTACTTCATAATGCTAAATAAGTGTGTGGAAGTAAATTCTTAGGAATATGGAAAAATATGACCTTAACTTGGGAAAATGAATAGAAATAATCTAGTGCACTCTGGTATAAAGATTTTTTTTTTGATGGAAATTACACACGTCTTTTTTTTTTTTTTTGGAAAATAGAGAAAAGAAGAATATGGCCCTTAGACTTGGTAGGCTTTTTTGTCTGATCTTCAATAGAATTTTAGCTCATGATGTATTAACTGATGGAAAAATTATATATAAGCTTTAAATATAAAAATTCTTTGCAGGCTGCTTGCTAATTTAATATACTTCTCAAAATATTTTAATTTCATTTGATGATTATGGAAGATATAGTAGGAATAACATTGCTTTTCTGATTAAATAGACAAAATCATAAATGTTTACTGCCCATCTAAATATCCATCTACCCCCAAGTTAGAATTTTTTTCACTTAGACAAGTTTTCAGGTGGTTAAATAATATGTCTTTATACTTTGTGTTTAGCTTCGAATAAGACAATAGTCAAAGAAGTAGAATTTGGAATGTGCACCGTTACCTGTGGTAAGTAGCATAAAGAACATCAATGAATCATAGTGTCATCTGGAGGGAGCAGTGGAGGAAGTAAGAACAGATTGTCCAGCAATTATTTGTGTGTAATTTGTGTACTTTCATTGTTTTCTATTTCTAATAAGTGTGATTTACACACAACACTCAGGCTGATTTCTTTAAAAGGTAAGACAGCTTCAGTTCATTACCTTTAAGTCTTATTTTTAGCCAGCTCTTTAGTTTTCCTTTGGCATGTAAAGTGCTTTCACGAAACTAAAATTTTCTCTACCTCACAGATGTTCAGTTGATGGAAAGTTTTCCAGTACACCTCACAGATGTCTTCCCATATATTGTGTTGGCAAATCTATCAAGAAATTTGCTTATTTGTAATAGTCTATTCTAAATTTTGCATTTCACCAATTTGTATGTCATATCTTAGAGAAAACAAGTATTGGCTTTACAGAGAATATGATGTTCAAAGACCCTGACTTATTTTGATCATTACATGGATAGTAATTGGACATGCTGAAATAGCACAGTGAGTCTGAAACACATGCACTAAGTGCCTAAGGGCTCCATGAAACATAAATACCTGGGCTGCCCTGAGTGTCAGATTCTTTAGATCTCTGAAATGCCTGAGAATTTGCATTTCCATGAAGTTTCCAATGAAGCTGATAATGCTGGTTAGAGGAACATCTTTTTTTTTTTTTTTTAAGATTTATTTATTTATTTGAAAAGCAGAATTACAGAGGCAGAGGAAGCGGGGAAGAGAGAGAGAGGGAGAGAGAGAGAGAGAGTGAGAGCGAGTGAGCTTCCATCTCTTGGTCACTCCCCAAATGGCCACAACAAAGCCAGGAGCCAGAAGCTTCTTCCAGGTCTCCTGCATTGGTGTAGAGACCCAAGCACTTGGGCCATCTTTTCCTGCTTTCCCAGGTACATTATCAGAGAACTGGATCGGAAGTGGAGCAGCTGAAACTTGAACTGCTGCCCATACGGGATGCCAGCATTACAGGTGGTGATTTTACACACTATACCATAGTGCTGGTGCAGGAGGGCCATCCTTTTAAAAGCCACTTCTATAGCCTAGGGTGCTGAGAAGACAACAAATGAATCACAGTTGAATTAAGTTCATTCTAACTAGAATCATCCCTGAAAAAGAGACAGTGATGAGAGGAAAAGAAAAACAGTATCTAGAGGGTACAGGGTGGTGGGAAGGGGTGGAGATTCAAGAAGCTAGTGATGGGCCAAGTGATTGGGTCTCTGACACATGGGGAGACATGGATTGAGTTCCCAGCTCTTGGTCATTTTGGACATTTGGGGACCAGTGGATGGCAGCAATTTCTCTCTCTCATTTAAAAGAAAAAAAATGTTAACCATTTTTCAGTGTAGAATTCAGTGGCCTTAGCACATTCACATTGTTGTATAACTGTCACCACCACCCATCTCTAGAACTTTTTCATCACCCAAAACTGAGATTTTACACCCATTAAAAACTAATTCTTTCCAGTGCCTGGCAATCACTGTTCTTACTATCTCTTGAGATAGTCTTAAATGTATTTTTTGTCTTAACTTCTTAGTGAGGCAGAGTCAAAATGAAAGCAAGCTATATAGTAAACCTGCAATTACTCATTCATAGTTTATATCTTTTTTATGCTTCTTGAGAAATTTTCACAGGTAGAGAATTGTTTTTGTGATAGTTTTAGTAGTTGATACTGTTCTCTATTACTTAAAGACATGTATTCTAAATTGTATATTTATTATTTCAGCAAATAAGTCTTTGGTTTTCCACAAAACATTTTGCCAACTGTGCATCAGCCATTGTTCTGCTGCCTGGGATCTGGCAGAGAACAAAGCACACCAAGCTCCTGCCTTTCAAGGAGGGTCTCTTCCATAGGGGCATCCAGACAAATGATGTGTCAAAGATGCAGTATGTGAGATAGAACAAAGAAAGCAGTATTCATTTCTAACATTTTAAAAATATTTTCAATTTATAACAGTTATTTAGAAGATAAAAATGCTTTGCTGAAATCCTACTTAACTCCTAAAACAGTATTTTAGCAGTCAAAGGTTTTTTTTTTTAAATATATCCCTGCAGATTTCTAGGTGTTACTGGGACTTACAGAAAATCTCACACCTACACACATCTCAAACAACTGTATTTGTCTAAATAAGTAAATACATAAAATTTCTGCTTAGAAAATATTTATGCAGTTCAGAAAGGTTGTGTTTCTAAAGAAACACTTTTTATTTACTTACTTAACTGGAGCCATACTGCTGCCATTATCAGCTATCTTTTTTTTTTTCTTATCAATAAGATCTTTCCTTTTCCATCCTACTGTTGCCTTGTCACAAATGGAGTCCTCTACTCCAAGGGTGGCCAATGGAATGACTGCATCAGCATCACCCTAGAGCTTATAAAGAATGGAGACTATCAGTCCTACTCAAGATCAGAAAACCATTTTCATAAGCCCTCCAGTTGGAGGAGCACTATTGAAAGCCATCTCTAGTCTTCCAACCTTCCCTTGCCCCTGAGAATGGGTCTGATAATTAACATCCTGCAGGGGCTGACAGAGGGAATCTGGTAGACAAGGAAATCTGTCAGCATAGATTCTTCCTTAGCCATTACTATGCAGGCTTATCACAGGACATGATTCAGCTTGTTGTCATCATCCTCAATTCTGGTGATGAAAGACAAACTCTGGAGATGTGGGATCCAGAGTGTCATGCTGCAAATAAAGATTTGGTTATTAATATCGTGTCCTGTCTATATTTAATATGGAGACCTTATCGATATAAATATTTTAAAATCACTTATGGTAAAATGTGATTTTGAAATTTCCACCAGAAGCTCTCCCCACCATGCCAAAGTTGCATGGTCAAATAAATTTGGGAAACAATGTGTGCTGCTCTGTGTCATTTAATTTAAGATTTTATTCACTATAAAAAGTACATTTTATGTACTCTAACAAGTAAAAATGCTGCAAATTAATTTATGACATGCCATCAATGTAGTCTGACTTCAAGTATGTGAAAATGTAAAATTTTACATCTTAGGCCAATTAAAATCTGCATACAATAGCACACTCATTTATCAGCATATTAAAAGTTATCAAAAAATTCTGTAGTGGAGAGATTGCTTTTATTTTATTTTAATGCACCATTTCCAAATGTATATAATCATGGAATCTTTAATAGCAACAATAAGAGGAATTGGTGTGTCACATTAAGTCATTTCAGAAATGCTATCTCATGAAGTAATTCAAAATGAGGGGCCTAAAAACATTTAATTGTTATTATACTGTATTTAGGAATGTATTTTCTGAAATTAGAACAAACTCTCAAAAAGATGTAGGTGGAAATGTAAAAACATACTTCAATGTGTGTCTTTGTAACGTTTGCCCTTTTTTCTTACTGAAGGTGTTGGTATTAGAGAAGTAATATTAACAAACGGATGCCCAGGAGGAGAGTCCAAATGCATTGTTCGGGTAGAAGAATGCCGTGGACCAGTAGACTGCGGCTGTGAGTTGGACTCTACTGGAGGGGGACTCTATTGGAGAGAGACTCTATTGGAGGTCGTACTCTATTGGAGCAGGAGAGTCAGCTCTGGGAAAATATCCATAAACTCAGGTTTCCATGGAGTGGAAGGAGACAATCAATTGATACATTGAAAGGAAATCATGATAACATTTTAAATTCCACCTTTTCCTTAGACAGCTGTAGCTCTGAGTAACCTTCTGCTTTGCGTTGTTCAGTGATACCCAAAATTTAACACCTATCCTCTGTAATATGCTGGAGCCTTACAGTACTCAGGGCCCATGATTGAGGCTACCCTAGAGTGAAATCCTTTTGATGCTTTGATCATGCCATTTTGTAAGAAAATGGGTAAACCTTCAATTGGGAGCTATGAGAGTTGATCTGATTTAAAGGGTGCTGATCCTAGACCAAACAATCTCTAATGGGAATCCCCAGCTATTATATTGGAAGCCAGTAGTAGACTTCACAATTTACTCAAACAAATCGCTATTGCTTGCCCTGTCTCTTCTTCACCATTCCACACAAAGAGCAGAGAGCCATGCTGTCTCTTCATCTGCTTCTCTTGATTGCCTGTGTCTTTGCATCCATTGGTGCTTTGCTCCTCTACACTCAGACTCACAGTTAAAAGTTTAATAACCTCCGGCATACAGTTGATTATTAAAATTTGAGGTGGCTTTTAAAAGTAGCGTTGTGTGTAAACCAATGTATAATGCCTACTGGTGCCTTATATATTTAATTTTTCTTTTTATTCAGGGGGTAAACCAATTTCAGAAAGTCTTGAAAGTGTTAGATTGGCATGTGTTCATATATCTCCTACAAATCGTTTCAAATATATGTGGAAAGTTCTAAGGCCAGACCAAGTAAGTAGTGAATGTATGTAATCTGGTACTTCCTAGTGAGTGATAAAATTTGTTTCCCAGTTCTTATGACTCTTAGAAAAATGTCTTTAAAAGCAGTTCACAAAAATGCATTAAAAGTCATACAATGTTGTTATTATTGGAATTTGAATTTTTTTATGATTTAGTGGGGCTAAGACTTTGCATATGTCTTAAGGCCAACTATAGTTTGAATTTTCACGAAGAGGCATTTTATCTATAGATTCCTCTGTTTTAGAAGCAAGGTTTTTGTTGTCTTAATTGAAGTTGTATAATGATAACAGTAGCCACCATTAAGGGCTTATTAACTGCCAGACATACACCAAGAGTTGGAATCTCTTTTAATACACAAACAACCCTCTGAGGTACTTCCTAGCAGTATACCCACTTCACAGACAAGTGAGGTGTACAGAGTAATTTGTCCACAGTCACACGAGCAAGAAGGTAGGGTTGGGATTTGAAGTCTAGAAATGATTAATTATTGTTCTAGGTTAAGAGAGACAATGATTCCTCTTTTATTATGGGGAATAGTTTCCTGATCTTAAGTGTAGTGAAGAATATTGTTACTTTGTTATCTTTTTAAAATAGCAACCTATTGTGCTTGCAAATGATTCAGCAATCCTGGAAGTACACAGGGAAATGCACCCCTTGGCTTTCGAGTGTGACACGCTGGATAATAGTGAACTAGTAGCATCTATTAGATTCACAATCTACACAACAAATGGTAAGTGCCCAGCCATGCTTCTGTTTGCTTTTACCCCTAGCTTTGAAGAGCATCACATTCACCTGGGGCCGAGGTGAGACACGTCTCTAGCCCCACTCCAAAGCTTTTGATTCAAATCAGGGCCAGGGCTGGCAAAAGAATCTGCATTTCTACTGAGATCCTGTAGATGCTGTTGCTGCTGGCTGGTGGACCACACTTTGAGAACTATTGGCTTACATCACTTAACTTTTTTCTACCAGATAGCACTTAATTTCTTTTTCATAGAATCAAACGTGCCTCACCTTGGGAAAGTGGTTGTATTAGTCAGAGTTGTGTTATTACCTGAGGCAGCTAATTTTCTAAAGAGAAGCTTGTTTAGCTCACAGTATCGATGGCATAGCACAGCCTACATGAGGGCTGCCCTTGGCTGCAACATCTCATGGTGTGGATAGCACTGGTGTGTGGGAACAAAGCAAGTGATTACATCTTGAACCACAAATAGAGAGAGAAGTGGCATCCTACAGCCCCTTCTAAAGGCATGCCCCAATTATCTTAGGACTTATTTTTTTTCCTATGGCTTCTCCCAATAGAAATATCCTGAGAACCAAGCCTCCAGTTACATTGAGTCCTTGGGGAACCCTCAACCCACATCCAAACCATAGCACTGGCATATTTCTAAAGTATCTCCAAAGAACAGTCATCTAAGCTGAATTATATTCTTATTTTTTACTTTTCATTATAAGAGTGAAAAGAATAAATGGAATTCTACACTTAGAAAAATCTGGTAGAGTCAAATAAATAAACATGATGTTCAGAGCAAGTCTTTTTAAAATTTATTCATGGCTTAATAATACAGTTCTTGTTATATGTCATAAAATGCAAATCCTGTCCTCCACATAATTTTACATTTTAGAAACTGGGTCTCCCTTATGAGATGGATCCATGCATATCTTTTCTATTTAATCTATGATGTCTTCCATACAGCATAATTATTTTTGTTGATTGCTCTTAACTTTTTTTATTGTTGTCATTGTTGTCTTTGTTGTTAATGGTGAAGGAGATTTGGTCACAGGTTCCTTTGAGCATCCAATCAAGCAGAAGCCTCTTCCCAGAAAAATATTCACATGTCAAATATGTCAAAAGTTATGTTTAATTTTAAGGAGTTTATGGATTTCTTCAAGCTATTTCCAAACCCCTGGAGAAGAGCCTCTAATATGTCTAGAGATACCACACAACAAAGCATCCTTTCTTGAAATGAAAGCAGGTTAAAGTGTTTAGGGATGATATTTAAAAAATAAACTACTTACTATTTAAATTTTCTTTGATATGCTGATTAGTTACTTAAAACCATCTTCATGGTAAAAGCTCATAATCACCTCTCTGTTGGTATATCAGTCCTCAGTAAAGGATAATGTCAGTTTAAAAAAGGACAAAAGAGAACCAAAACACCATCAAACTAAAAAAGTATCTCAGGGAGCTTAGCTGATGGTAGTGAAGGTATCTGGGACCATGCTCAATCTTTGTCCCCCCCACGGTCCCCTGTTAGGACTCTCTCATAGTGAAGTCCTCTCGGGAACAGAAGAGAACATGCATTTGCTAGAGTGGAAGCTGAAGGCTGGGATATAGTTCCCCGAATGCCAGACTTTTGTTCAGACAAACTTCAGGGCTGCTGTCATCTCAGTACATTCACTAACTGACAAATATTCTCAAAACACTTTGGTATTTATTGGTTTCTTCTAAATATGACAATTGGGTACACTTTTTGGTTGTTTAGATACAAACAAATGTTTTGGCTAGAATTGTCCATACAATATGGTACTGGCTTGACACAAACACCTCATTGAAGCTAGTCACCCACTGCTTGTGTGTTGAGTTTAGTATTAGTATATATTTTGCATTTTTATCTATCAACAAGAGATTGTACCACCTCATTATCAAAACTGAGCTGGGAAGAGCAAATTACATGGGACTGAAGGATTAAATCAGGGATGGGGGTGGGGTGGAGGGTTATAGAATATCTAACTTGTTACTTTCCTTTTCCATGAAATTCTTTAACTAGATTCTTACCATGTGATAAAGTTAATAAAACAGAAAAAAGAAATATTTTTAGGGTAAACATGATTTAATTAATGAAAAATTCCCATTCATTCCCTATATATCAGATTACTCCCACAACAGCTGTCTTTCAGAATTAGTCACTGTGACGGGTTGAATTGTGTTTACCACGAAAGATACTTTGAAGTCCTAGCGCCCAGTACTCAAAATTTGGTCATATTTGGAAATAAGTTCATTGCAGATATAATTAGTCAAAATGAGATCATATTAGAGTAGGCCTTTTTTTTTAAAAAAGATTTATTTATTTTGAAAGTCAGAGTTACATACAGAGAGGGGGTGAGACAGAGACATAGATCTTTAATTTACTTGTTCACTTCCCAGATGACTGTAACAAACAGGGCTAGGCCAGGCTAAAGCCAGGAGCCTGTAGCCAGGAGCTTCTTCTGGGTCTCCCACATGGTGGCAGGAGCCCAAGTAATTGGACCACCTTCTGCTGCTTTTCCCAGAAGCATTAGCAGGGAGCTGTATAGGAAGTGGAGTAGCTGGAACACGAACTAGTACCCCATGGGGTGCCAGCATCACAGGCAGTGGCTTTATCTGTTATGCCATAACTCCAGCCCTTAGAGTGGGCCTTAATACAATATGGTCATGACCTCATAGGAAGAGGGAAATTTGGGTTGGGGCAGGGAGGCGAGAAAAAGACACACAGGGAGAAGACAGCCATGTCAAAATAGAGACAGAGATTAGAGTCATATTACCCCAAGCCAAGGAATGTCCAGGGCTACCATACTAGCAAGGATCCTCCCTTATAGCTTTACAAGGGAGCATGATTGCCAGTACCTCATTTCAGACTTCTAGCCTACAAGCATTTGAGATGATGAATTTAATTTTTTTTTTTAAGTCACCCAGTTTGTGGCACTTTGTCATGGTGGCCCTAGGAAAATAATACATACCTAAGATAAGATTATCTGAAATGTGAGACTATTAAAATACAGCCTATTTTTCATGAGAAATTGTTAATGAAATTCAGGCTTTTTTTTAAACTAGATATAAAATATTTTTGGTTACCCTTGTGAGAAGGATACTGTTGGAATGAACTAATATCTTTATATGTGTCGCTCCCCCTCTTCGTGGAGGAACGACACAGGACCCTGCGCTGTTCTTTTGTCTGCTCGGCCCTCCCCGGGTTTGCTGCTGGTTCTTCCCGGGTTGGCTACTATCCCTTCCACCTCCGTGGAAGGGCAGTTCCCCCTGGCCACATTCCCCACTTCCGCAGGGGAGTGGCACACCGCCGGCCGGCTCTCTGGGGGCTGCACAGGTGTTCCTTCAGATAGATGTTCCCCTTAGATGTTCCCCTTAGATGTTACTGGTGCATGCCGTCTCTCTCCTCCTTCATAGTCCTCCTCCGCCAATCCCAACTCGGCTGCCCACACGCCGAGTACGCTGCTCTCCAATCAGGAGCAAGTCCTACAGTTTATTGGTTGAACTGGAAGCAGCTGTGCGGAAGCTGTTTACTTCTCTCCCAGCGCCATATTGTGGGAGAGCAGATGCATAGAATAAGTCTTAATTCCAGTAACAGTCTAGTCCGAGTTGCTCCCCACATATATGCTTCACTTTTTTTTAACCCTTTCTTGGCTAATGTTACAGGGTAAAGGATAATTGGAAATTATTTTTGTATTTCTGCTCCTCAGGTTTGAGTCCTAAAAGGTGTCTTTTATTACATTTTTTAAATCCCACCACTTATGTAAATCTAAAATTATTTAAAATATGGAAATTTTAAGAATCAAATCATGTTGGAATAGAAATATAATTTCTCTAACATACTTGGAACTATTTATTGAGATCACTAAAATGAGTTTATAGTTTTATAATTACTGAGAATTGAAAGTTATAATACATTATGTTTAAAGGATAGGTAAAAATTCAAAAAGATAAGTTGTTGAGATTTCCCAGACAGAGTGGTATATACAGAAATTAAAACAGTAGAGTAGTAGAGTATTAAATTAAAACAGTAGAGTAACTTGCTCTAAACATCAAATCCCTCTTCACTGAGGATTACTCACTGTGTAATTTGGTATTTGGATCAGATGGTCTCTATGGCTGTTTCTCACGTGAATCTTTTATGATTCTTGAATTTGGGGACTAGAAAGAGCCATAAAATTTACGTATATGAGTGAAATTGACAGATCTTTATTTGATTACTCTTTATAGCCCTTGTCATATTCCTGCTGAACTATGGTCTTAATATTTCAAACTTGTTGAACTCTTTATTTAGTGTGGAGCATTAAGCCTTTGGCTATAATGTAAATTTAAAAATTATCTCAAAAATAAAAAAATTTAAAACAGAGAAAACTCCATATTTCACTAATACTTGACATAGTATAGACTAATACTCTTCACAGTCTAAAAGTGCTATAGCACATTGGGTAGACTGGTTTGCTTCATCAGCAGCCTTATTTGCAGAAAGACCGGAGAGATAGGTTGGAGAGTACCTGATTTAAGAGTGATATGGAGACATCTGAACAGAAAACAATGAACCTCACTCCCTATATTATATCATACACAAAATTTAGAGATGTGTTATAGTTCTAGGTGTAAAATCTAAGCTGATAAAGCTTTAGGAAGAAATCTTAGAAGAATATCTGTATGAGTCAGGATTAGGCAAAGGCTTCTTAGGCTTGACTCAAAAAACAATCACCATAAAAGAAAGCTTTGGATGAGTTAGAGTTCAACATAATTGAAAATTGTAACTCATTAAAATAAATCATTAGGAAAACAAATAGGAAGCCAAAATCTAGGAGAACACATGATTGCACAGCCATATAATCAGTTCGGGAAAGGTCTCATGGTTTCTTACAAAACCAAGCATGTGTCTACTTTATGGCCCAGCAGTTCCACTCTTAAATACTTATTCAAGAGAAATGAAAATATATGTTCACAGCATGGTTTCTGTTAGATACACAGAGAAGCTTTTTTCTTTATAATAATCCACAGTAGAACATCCTAAGTATCAACTAGTAAAAGAATGAATAAACAGTTAATATAGAATACAAAAAAAAAGTTTAAGAATGAAAGGGACATCTTGTAATATGATTGTTTTTAGCCCTTGTTCATACTCCTGAGGAACTGTGGTCTTGCTACTTTTTACTTGTTGAATATCATGGTTAGTGGTGAAGTAGGCCTGCGATTATAGAGTAGATTGAAAGTATGTCTTTGCTTGGGCTTACGGCATGGATCACTTGGTTAATCCTCCGCCTGCGGCTCCGGCATCCCATATGGGTGCCAGGTTCTAGTCCCAGCTGCCCCTCTTCCTGTGGCCCAGGAAGGCAGTGGAGGGTGGCCCAAGTGCTTGGGCCCTGCACCCACATGGGAGACCAGAAAGAAACACCTGGCTCCTGGCTTCAGATCGCATAGCTCCGGCCATGGCGGTCATTTGGAGGGTGAACCAACAAAGGAAAGACCTTTCTTTCTGTCTCTCTCCCTCACTATCTAACTCTATCTGTCAAATAAATAAATTTAAAAAATTAAAAAGAAAGTATGTCTTTGCAAAAATTAAAGAAAAAAGAAAGGAAGGACAGTAGGAGGGGGACTGAGAGAGGGAAAGCAAAGGGAGGGAAGTATGGTTCTCTTCCTAGAACTGTACCTATGAAATACATAAAATCTGTTCTCTTAATAAAAATTGTAAAATAAATAAAGGGATAAAAATGGGTAAATGAATGGTGGAATAGTACTTTGTAATAAAAAGAAAAAACTATAGTTGCATGTAACAGTATTGGTGAATCTCTAAACCATTATATTCTGAGTTTTATTTATTTATTTTTCAAGATTTATTTTATTTATGTGAAAGACAGAGTTACAGAGAGAGGTAGAGACACAGAGAGGTCTTCCATCTGCTGGATCACTCCTCAGATGGCTGCAACAGCCGGAGCTGAGCTGATCTGAAGCCAGGAGCCAGGAGCTTCTTCCAGGTCTCCCACATGGATGCAGGGGCCCGAGGACGTGGGCCATCTTCTACTGCTTTCCCAGGTCATAGCAGAGAGCTGGATTGGAAGAGGAGCAGCCGGATTTAGAACCAGTGCCCATATGAGATGCCGGCACTTCAGGACAGGGCTTTAACCCACTGTGCCACAGTGCTGGCCCTGTATATACTGAGTTTTAAAAAAGCTTTAGACAAAAGAGTAAATAGTGTATGTTTCCATTTGTATTCTAGAATCTATGGTGGGAAAGAGTCAGGACAGTAGTTGCCACTGGAAGATGTAGCAGTGATTAACCCAGAAGGGGCATAAGGGAACTTTCCAGGGCACACTATTACTCTGTGTCTGATAGGCATTTCATTGCCTGTGTGCATTTGAATTTGCCAAAACTGAGCAAATGTACTTAGGATCTTTGTACAACCCATTGTGTATAAATTTAAAGAAAAAATGACCATGTTTTTTACTCTATTGATATTATTGCCAGAGAATTTGGGGGTAAGTGTGTAGACATCTGCAAATGATACTGAAATGTGTAAAAAATAAAATGAGCTTCTGAATTTGTATAGCAATGGATAGATTAATAGTAAAATATTAGTGGTGGTCTTACAAGATGTTCATTGTTAAATTCTTTCAACTTTCTGTATGCTTGAAAAGGACAAATCAAATGTACAGATCAAGTTCATTAATAATATTCTTTTCTGTAGTTCTGTTTTTTTCTAGAGTTGTTTTTCAAATATAAAATTTCTATTTAGATATCTATTTCCTTTCTTTCCAGTAGTAATAATCATCAGGTGTGTGTTTTCTCTAGAATTACAGATGAGAAGATCAAGTCGACCTGACACGGATGCAGTCCTAGTTTTTGTGCTGACCACAGGAGTTATTATCTGTATATTTGTGATCTTTGTATTGATCTTCATAATTATTAATTGGTAGGTGAATGGCTGGAATGCATCATCATCTTTGATTGCCATCCTTCTTATGTTCCTCTCCCCCATTTCGCTCATTCAATGAATTGCAAAATCCTGCCCATCATGCCTCCTACGCTTGTATTGAACCTGTCCAGCTCCCTTCATTCTTCCTAGGATTATCATAGCTGAGGCCATCCCATTTCTTATGTGCATACTTTTCTAAATAATCTCATGACTTTCTTCCTAGGCCATGAGAGTTTTTAAATGTAATTTTTACAATTTTAAAAGATAATTGCTAAAAAAATTTATTGATTGAATATTTGTGCTGTCCAGTTGTAGTTCTCACAACTTTAAAACTTGGTTATTATAACCTACAATTTCATTTATATGATAATATTTGTAATATATAATATTACACTGTAATGAGTCTAAATATTCATCTATTATTGCAATCCAGCTGATGCAGCACAATTGAAAACTGAGTTGTGAACAAAAAGCAGTGCTAAATATAGAAAATGTAACTATAATTCTATTTAATGTTAGTTTTCCTTCATATTATGGTTTTTGTTTTTCCTTTTGTTTTTTCTTCCAGGGCAGCAGTGAAAGCTTTCTGGGGGGCGAAAGCCTCTATGACCGAAATACATTCTGAGATGAGTTCTATGAGATATAAAGATTCAACTTCTCTTGACCAGTCACCAGCAGAAATACCCGGACATGAAGAAGATGCTTTAAGTGAATGGAATGAATGATGTATGGATGGTATATGAAAAAAAAAACAAAGGATATTAGAGAATATCAGATTCACTATTATAAAAATAAAATATATACTGAATTACTTTAATAATGTTGCAAAAGATTTCCCACAGTAATGCAGTATGAGCCCAGGGCTATGCATCATTGTGGTACACTTGTACAAAATGTTGTTCTTATCATTTACCATTTGAGATAAGTGGGGATATTTATCTAGATGTGTACACAACAAATCTTCTCAACATGTTTTTGATCACTTTCATCATTTCTTTTTTTTTTTTTTTTTGACAGGCAGAGTTAGACAGTGAGAGAGAGAGAGAGAGAGACAGAGAGAAAGGTCTTCCTTCTGTTGGTTCACCCCCCAAATGGCCGCTACTACCAGCACACTGTGCCGATCCAAAGCCAGGAGCCAGGTGCTTCCTCCTGGTCTCCCATGTGGGTGCAGGGCCCAAGCACTTGGGCCATCCTCCACTGCCTTCCTGGGACACAGCAGAGAGCTGGACTGGAAGAGGAGCAACCAGGACAGAACCAACACCCCAACCGGGACTAGAACCCGGAGTGCCGGCGCCGCAGGCAGAGGATTAGCCTAGTGAGCTGCAGCACTGGCCAACTTTCATCATTTCTAAGGTGATTTCCTGTCTGTACTAAAAAGGACATAGCTTTGCAAAGTAAACTTCCTACTGTGCTCACGCCCCACCAAACTCCGCCGGAGAACTGGATTGAACTTACTGAAATGAATCACATTTTAGAATCTCTGGAGGGCATGTGTCTTACAAAGCATCATTTGCAAAACATGAAAAATAATAAGAGCCAACATTTGATGACTGCTACATACCAATCATTGCTCAAGGTCTTTTTCACATATTAGGTAATTTAATTATGGTTTCATATGAGAACTATTGAGGAACTGGAAGGGAGCTTGGAGGTCAACAAGGAAATTATGTGAATTTAAAACACCCCATATTTCTCACAGAAATACTGAATTAAGCTTTTTCTTTTTTCAAATTTTATTTGAAAGGTAGAAAAACAGAGAGTTAGAGGGATCTTCTATACTGGTGTACTTTCCAGGTGTCTACAACAGTCAGGAATGGCCAGGTTGAAGCCAGCTCTCCTGTGTTACAGGGACCCAAGTACTGCCTCATTGCACATTACTAGGATGCTGAATCAGAAATAAAGTAACGAAGTACTCCCAATATGGGATGTGAGTGTCCCAAGTGGCACTTACGCTCTGAATCACCATCCCCCTTTTCAAAAATAATTTTTGGATTAAGAACTTCTGATTTACCACAGATAAATGTCCTCACTGTATTTAGAATGCAAATGATAATATTTCAGAACCAAGTTACTTATTTCTGAACATCATTACTCTTTTGTGCTGTGTCAGTATGTGATACAGTTATGACAAGCTATCAAGATATTAGGGCATGAGGTAATTTGGTTCAGTCAATTTTATCAGAAATTAGTTTTTTTAAAACTTTTATTTTATAAATATAAATTTCCAAAGTACAACTTTTGGATTATAGCGGCTTTCACCTTCCCCCCCAATAACCTCCCTCCCACCCGCAACCTTCCCATCTTCCATTCCCTCTCCCATCCCATTCACATCAAGATTCATTTTCAATTATCTTTATATATGGAAGATCAATTTAGTATATACTAAGTAAAGATTTCAACAGTTTGCACCCACACAGAAACTCAAAGTATAAAGTACTATTTGAGTACTAGTTATACCATTAGAGGTTATGAAAGCATAAAATTTACTTTCATTTTTTTCCATGTAGATAAGTTCAATGCCAGAATTTTACTATTATTATGCAATTTATTGATGATAAAATTAACTGCATATTATAAATGGACATATATTGTATACATCCTGCTAGTAGCATAGAAATAGGTTTTTAGATGAATCTTCTCTATTTTTTGTTAAGTAGCATTTGTATTTGAGAGAAGCAGTGAAGAATTGGCTGGAAAATGATTTTGTTATGTGTTGTAGGAATTCCACTGGGAACTTTAAGTGAAAGGAAGTTGGTTTTATAAAATCTTCCAAAATAATTCATTTTTATACCCCACCCCGGATCAGTGATAAAAAAAAATCCATCCTCACATTCTTCCACCTAATATGTATGGTCATGTAATTTTTAGCGTTGGTACTGAACATTTTTGAATAGTAGTGATTGTCAGTCCTTGTTTTAAAAACCATGAACAACAGTAGGTCCCAAATGTACTTCCATACATATTAGTGTTCAGTGAGGTTAGCAGAGTTATTTGTCATTAGCACTGCTCACAGAATATTTCTCGCTTGCAGACACAGGGTAAAATAATACTTCCCAAGTTCCTCATGGTTAAGTGATGGTGTAACTTAGTCCTCATCAATGAATTTGGAGCCAAAATTCCGAAGTTTTGAGTCATTTTCAGGCTGGAACATTTGTGAAAACACTTAGAGCTCACCTGTCTGCCAAAGCAAGTAGAAGTGCTCACAAGATGGCTGCTCTGACACACTGGATCCCACAGTGAGGACCATGTGGCACAGGGTCTCCAGCCAACCAACAATGGAAGTTTAGTATGAGTGAGAAATACATCTTCCTATTTTAAGTCACTAAAGTTTAAAGGATTTTGATACAGCAGCCTTACTAAACCTTCTTGATCAATGCATTAGTCTTTAATGAAAAATAAGTTTTCATGGTCAAGTGAAGTGAACTTTCTTTAGTGAAGGGCTTCTTAACATCAGCAAAGTGCTACACACATTATGATTCTCCAAGGAGGAGAATATTTCCCAAAATTTTCTGGTGTTGAATAATTAAAAATGAAGCCAAACATGAATATCAATACTGTAAAAACTCAGAAATACTCTTTTTTTAATTTTTTTTTTTTGACAGGCAGAGTGGATAGTGAGAGAGAAAGACAGAGAGAAAGGTCTTCCTATTGCTGTTGGTTCACCCTCCAATGGCTGCCACGGCCGGTGCACTGCGGCCTGGGCATCACGCTGATCTGAAGGCAGGAGCCAGGTGCTTCTCCTGGTCTCCCATGGGGTGCAGGGCCCTAGCACTTGGGCCATCCTCCACTGCCTTCCCGGGCCACAGCAGAGAGCTGGCCTGGAAGAGGGGCAACCGAGACAGAATCTGGCGCCCCTACCAGGACTAGAACCCGGTGTGCCAGTACCGCTAGGTGGAGGATTAGCCTATTGAGCCCCGGCACCAGCCCTCAGAAATGCTCTTTTGATCAGGAATGTCTGATGTGTTTCTGCCTATGAGGAGCCAAGGCTCACTTAACTAGTCTTTATAATATCTAACACAAGAAGTCATCAGTACACTTTGACATCAGTACACTTTACCTTAGATCATTGTATGTTAACCTTCTATTGCTTCAAACCCACCCTGATGGCCTTTTGTGAAATCATCCTACTCCCAAGACCAGGGACTCCTTTCTTAAGAACTATAATCATACCATATTTGGTTAAAACAATTAGTAAATCTTATTTGTCAAGTAGTTTATAATATGTTCCAGGTCTCCATGAATCTCTCCAAGTCTCCTTAATACCCGCTGTCATTTGTCACATGGTCATAATCTGTGTGTAGGAGAAGTTCCTTTGCCATGGTCCCTGAAGTCTCCATTGCATACCACTAGATACTAATGGGTACAATCACTTCCCTCTTCAGGCAGATTAAGCCAGAAGCATCTTCTACCCATTATGTTCTCTTCAAATCCAGGATGCAATTTATCTTGGTCATTAAAATACTCTCATGGAAAACCATAAAGTTTGCATCTGGATGGACATTGGAGGCAAATAAAGTCAAACAGTAATGCATCAGAAAGAGGCCTTCCTTTTGGACATTAAGCCATCTCTGCACATGCAGCAGCAGGATTTTCTAAAGTGTTCAGATTAAGAACCAAGAGAACCATTCATTCATCCAACAAGCATTGAATTGACTTAGCTAATCCTATGGGTTAGATACTGTGCTAATCACCGGGAACATAGTTTGTGTAAAAAAATTAAAAAGATGGTAACCCTCTTCTCTTGGATTTTATCATTGAACTAGGACACAGACACCACAGTTAACAACAACTAGCATGAATACATGGCATGAAACCTGCCCTTTTCTATTGAAGGTGTAGTAGGAAAAATGACATTTAAATGAGATTTAACACCTAAGTAGGAGTTACCCTGGTGAAAGAGGAGATGGCCTACTAGAGGGCAGAGCAGGTGTGAAGGCTCTGAGTTAGGAAGGAACAGAAGTCTGGCAGAGCTGAAGTGTAGAGAAGGGGAAAGGAGTGATGGGAAATGAGGCTGCCTAGTAGGCAGAGGCAGGTAATAGTAATACATGTATGTTTTCATTATATATATATGATGTATAATTGATAGCATTCTCTCTGTCCATATATATGTATATGTATCAGCACATATTATTATACAAAATAATGTAAATGGCCTGAGAACACATATCATTGAGTCAGTGTTGAAGTCAGAACTCTGATTCTTTTGCTACACCATGTTTTCTCATACCTTATTGGAATTCTTTTGATACTGGCCTTTGACAAACTATGACTGTTGATTTTGACCCAGACAGGATAGGCTATGTTTTAATCTAACCTGGGTTCCTTTGAGTCCTACTGGGAATGCAAGTCCTTATCAATGAGAGCTCGATTTTCTTTCATACTAATTCCTAATTTACTCTCATGCTATGCACCTGGGAACGAGATAAGGAGATTGAGTTCCTAACAATGACTAGCTTGTTGGGCATACTTCCAGGCCAGTCGCTAGTGATAAGATGATCAACAGACATAATAGGCTGCAATTTTCTAGAATCTTGGACATGACAAGGATTGAAGCAGTTTATGGTATTTATTTTGCTGAAATATAGTCCAATTTCCTTCTGTTAGCATAATGTTTCAATTCAAAATTAATTTCTTTCCAGAGTGGTTCTAATATAGTCTATAGGTTCTCTGTTCATGTCCTTGTGATCTTTTAAAAATTGCTGTGATGTTTCTATTTTGATCCCACTTTATATTTTAAATCTGCTCCTTCAGTCATTTTTGTTAGATTCTGGAGGACAGTCTTTTTGGAATTATAACATAT